CCCCAAAACCCCAAAACCCCAAAACCCCAAAACCCCGTCAATTTGGAAAATTCTAGATTAGGGCAATTGTAAAAAGATGAAATAATTAATTCAAGTTAAGTTATGATTTTATATACAAATGCATTAAATAAAGCGAAGCAAAGTGAGTAATAATATTTATTAATTTGCCATCATTGTTTGCAATGCATCTTTAATTCAAAGAGCATTTTATAATTCTTCCTTATTAAGTATCATCTTCTTTTTGTTAGACCTTTTAAGTGATATTTAAGTTGAGGGAGTAGATGGGAATAGAATTGGTTCAAGATTTTTAGCATTTGTTATTTTTTCAGAATGCTATTTTCCAAATTTATGGACTTTTTTTCCATTTGAAGTTGAGGATCCTGCATTTTACTTTTTCCCTTTTGACTTCTTAGCTTGATCCTTGTTGTTAAAGGTTATTACTGTGAACACTGGGAGTCTTTTTCCTTTACCAAATACACCTTCCAAAGGATCCTTAGTTTTCTTAGAGGATGATTTGTTCGATATAGTGCCAATATTTGGCTCGTTTTTCTTATTAGAATTAGCTATGAGAGACTAGCTCTATTACTGGATAATCTAATTAATCAATTAGGCGTTTTCAACCAACTTCTAAGTGTAGGCTATATCTATCTTTTACTCTGACTTAGCCTCTGAGTGAAGGAATTGGCACCTCATGCCATAAGGACAATAAAGATGTTCATGGTACTATTTACAGAGTTTGGTTTTATAATTCTGAGGGACATGCTACTTTCTCTGAAGCTCATGTTCGCCATGTGCAAATGAGCACTAAATAAAAAAAGTTATCAGAAGTATAAATTTACACTTTGACTAAACTCACAATAGCCGTAGAGTTCCCAGTTTCTGCATATCTCAGTCTTATATTTGGTTTTGAAACCCCACTGATAATTAGAAACGTCATCTGCTTAGGAATTTGGCTAAAAATTATGAACTGACAAAGATGACTTTTAAGTTTGAGATTGATCTCCTAAATTTTCCTCCTGCTTCTTATAGTAGTCCTAAGCATCGAATGAGAATCTAGGGGCATAGGCGTTTTATTGAATAACCCCTTTGCTTGGTTTGAAATCGAATAAGTTTGAAGAATATGATAAAGAATGTGATTAGTTCGGATGAGATTCTGTTTCTCCAGATAGACCTGTACTAATGACCAAGTTTAATTTCTTGTTCTAATTTACGATTACTACCTTCTAATATTCGTCCATTTCAGATTTTTGTTTTGGATTTAAATGCTAGTCTTTATCAGAAATTTAGTCATGCTAGTTCTCGAAGTAATCGCTATCGAGCATCTTCTCTACCTCTTAATTTATCTCCTTAATGCTTTATAGTTCAAGTTAATCTAGGCTGGATTCGATATCATATTGACTTTCAGCAACTTTCCCCGATGTATCTTAAACGCTTAAGATTCTATTTTTTGAGATTTTCCTGCTAAAGTCTTCAATTTAGGAAATTAAATTTATCTGACTTAAGTCATTACTTTTAGTACTTTACTCTCGTTAAGTGTGACAGTAGAACTGTTCAAAGTTCTCTTGGCTGTAAAGCTCGTTGAAATTTTAAGTGATTATCTCTCTTTTTGAGATATTCTTGATTAAGGATTGAGAGGAATGAATCCAATGAGTGCTTAATCTCAGAAAATCCTATAGGTTGTGCTGCATCCCTTTATATTATAATATTAATGAAATTAAATGTCAATTTTTAATAAGCTATTATACTATCTCTTTAATTTTCAGTATATGTCATGTATTGCCCTGCTGGGGTTTTGGGGTTTTGGGGTTTTGGGGTTTTGGGG